TCCGAGTAGGCGAGTATGCAGTTACTCCCTCCGTCCCTAATTTGATTACAATTTTTTTTCTCTCTCCTCTCGATAAATTTTGTTTGTTTACGCGATTTCATCAAATATTTGATAAAATAAAATATTCTTGTCACCTCTTATTTTGTAGAACTTTTGACGTAGTTTTTTAATATGTAATTTTTATAACTTATTGATATACTAATTTGTAAATAAAATGATTTCAAAAAATAAGAAATTTTACTCCGTAACCCGCAATTTGTAATCAAATTGGGGAGGGAGGGAGTATATCACTGGTTAAAAAAAACTGTATTTGGGAACAGCAGGGGGACCGGCCCTGCACCCCTCTCTAGATTTGGATGTGCATGGCAGTCGACGGACCCCATCCCTCTCCACCCACACTCAGATAAATAAATAAATACGGAGTAAATAAAAGAAAATAGAGAAACTAATTAAGAAAGAATATTCTTTCTTGCCCATCACCGCCACACAGCTCTGCAACAACTAACAAACCACTCCATAGTTTAGAGAACACAAACCTACCCTGGTCCCTATTGTATCCACAAAACTTTCATACGCGAATTTTATCGAAAAAACTTAAAATTTTCTTATCTTTAAGAAAATTATCAAGACTAATATTTTATTCTAATTACTAGAGAGAATATTGTCTAAGGGTCCATTTGGTACACGGAATTGATGGAATTGAAATTGAATTGGAATTAAAATTCCATGGGATTCAATTCCATAGAATTGAAATCAGCAATTCCATTTCATTATTTCCACTACCAATTCCAAATCCACATAATTTTTGGGCTACCAAACACAAGAATTGGAATTGAAGTCCTCAAATCCAATTTCATAATTTGAATTCTATGTACCAAACTGGGCCTAATATTCATGCATAGATGTATATCAGTCCTTCCAAAAAAAGATAGATGTATATCATAATTCTTAGATCACGCATTTTTTGTTTTTTTCTCTCTTGTTTTAAAACGTTTTTAAAATTTTTTTAAGAGAATTGTATCAAAATTCAAAAGTGTTTGTACGAAACTATCTATCACCAATTACTTGTTTCCACGAAACTATCTCTCAAATTTTTATTTCTCTATTTTAACCAAATTATTTATAAAATCATCTCTCACCAAATATGAATATGCCCAAACGAGTCATCTATCATTTAATTCGTTTTACTTCCATGAAAAAAATATTTAACTTATACGGGGTAAGTAATTTATAATTTAAAAATTATTTATCAGCAATAAGTCATTTATAAACACATGCACAGAGAAACACACCTAAAATATTCAAAACTAGATGTGTAATTATGTATTTTTGTAATTTAATGAAAAGATTATGATATATTGTCCAAAATATTCTTTAAAAAAATAAAACTAATAACACAAATTAGTGATAACATGATTTGAGGGTACTTTTTAAAACAACCATGCATACTGCAATTACACCAAAAAGTGTACTACAAAGTTATACTCCCTCCGTCCTAAAACTTTTTTTCCAGAGCACTATTCCAATTTCACGGGAATTTATATTTATTTGTGTTTTTTCATGGCGTATATGATAAAATAAAATATTCTTGTCACCACTTGTTTTGTTGAATTTTTGATTTAGTTTTTAAATATGTACTCCCTCCGTCCCACTCTCTTTGTCTACTTACCTTTTGGCACACCATCCAATGCATTTCTTTAATCCATTTTATCTTGTAATTTGTATATTAAAAAATTATAGAAATTATATATTAATAATCTATATGTTAAGACAAATCAAACAAGATCACACATGATTATATATATTTAGGCTTACACATTGAGAGAATTTGATGAGTCAAAGTGCTTAGATGAACAGTTCCAAAAGTCAAAAGTGGACAAAGAGACTGGGACGGAGGTAGTATGTTTTATTTTTTATTTCTATACCAATATTTAAATAAAATAGATTGAAAAAACTTGGGATTTTTCTTCGTTTTGCGCAATGGGAATAAAGATATAGGACGAAGGGAGTATAAAAAATACTCCCTCCGTTCCTTACATTCCTGTTTTGACTTGCAAGAGATTTAATTTCACAGTTTGACCTTCTAATTATACTCATATTATTGAAGAAAAAAGAGAGACAAATCATTTAAATGACTTATTATATTAATGCAAATTGAATGTAGTATATTGTCAAAACTTAATTTAGATATATTAGCCATTTTTTACAAAAATGGAAGTGTTTGTGGAAAAACGAAAAAAAAAGTGAAACTATTTTAAGGAACGGATCGGAGGAGTTTATACTATCCTTCTGTCCACTATAGATCTTTCCAGACATTATTCATAGGGTCAAATTTTACTCACTTTGTTTGCTCATTTTTACTAATCATTTTGTAAAATAATATAGTCTTGTCACCTCTAGTTTTGTAGAACTTTTCATGTAGTTTATTACTATATAAATTTTATTTTAAATTTTTACTCCTATAATCAATTAAATTGAATTGAAAATAAAGTCGGTCAAGCCTCGTAACACGTAATGGGAAGATCTTAGGTGGACGGAGGGAGTACTATTTTAATGCTTCATACTGACACAAAATGCTAGTGTGATAATAAAAATTTACACTAAAATTTTGTGCATGTGTGAACCGCCACTCTAGCATCACACTAGTACAAAATAAAAGTGCACATCTGAAGTTTATAAATTAAGGTACAATTAATTGAATCCTTTTAAAGAAATACGGTAAACAACTAAATCCTCTCTCAACATTCCTATCAATTTAACAAAAAACGTGTAAAAACATAGTCCAACAAGTCTTCAGTTCAACTTTTCAAAGATGCTTTCTACCAGGGTTTAAATCCCATTAAACTTTGGTTGCACATGATTTGGGTGTCTAAACACAAAGACTATCGTACCGTACCCTAAATTTAAGGTGTAATTAGCAGCTCGCTTCATTAGTCAACAAGAAAATATTTTCTCCACGCATAGCCTTGTTGCGTTTCACATCACATATTAAAATTCTACGTTTTTAAATTCATTTTATTTAAAGTTTATTTAATTAATCAGTATATAAATAAAAATTAAAACATGTATATCTAAAAGTACATCATAAGTTTTACAAAACAAGAAATGACAAAATAATTTATATCATCAAATAGTGAATGAAGATACAAAAATAAACAAAAGTTCTTGCAATTTTTGAATACTGAAGTGCGTAAATCATTTAAGGATCGGGGGAGTATGTCTTTTTCCAAGGTAGTATCTAAAACTTTTTATTCCTTAAATAATATGGAGTATTTGAATAATAATGTGCAGTGGCGAAAACAATATAATGTCCAGAGACGATGAACATTTTTACTTGAACAATGAACATTGATATCACATTGAGAAATTAGAACATATGGGTATATAAGTATAATCCCCATACATTAAAATATTACACTTTCATATATCATAGAAATTAATAAAAATATATAAAATTTTAATGAGATGCAATAAAGTGGTTGGATGAGAGGGCATAAAAAATGTGAGTTATAATAACTAAGCCAATTTTGGAGGAATAAGTATTACTCCCTCCGTCCATAAATAAACTTTATATTGCGCGTTACGATGTTTGACTGAAGTTATTTTCAAATTATTTTATATGAAAAATGATGTAGAATTGAAAAATAAAAATTACATATTAAAAAACTATATCAAAAGATCTACAAAACTAGAGGTGACATGACTATATTATTTTATCAAATGGGTGACAAAAATAGGCCAACAAAGTGAATAAAGTTTGACCCTGTGATTCTGTGAATAGTGAACGTAAAGTTTATTTGTGGACGGAGGGAGTATTTTTTTATCATATCTTTTTTGTATTGCATTTTTTTTCTATTTTTTAGTTTTAATTTTATTTTTCAAATTATATAGTTTTGAATTATTTACATGTTTCCATAGCGAAAAAATATAAAGAAATTAATTTTTTCTAACAGCCAAATTAGGCTTACTACCTTAGACCTTTTAATACATTCTTGAAACGTGTACGACAATCATAAACCACGAGATTTTAAAATATCTAATCACCGCCCTTACACCCTTTTGATACTCCCTCACTCACCAAACGAAAATTTAAAAATGATTTTATAGAATTAAAAAAAAAAGTTTAAAACCTAAAGTATATGGATGAAATTTGGCTACATACGTATCCTACTTAATTATAAAAATATTAAATACACTATTTTTATCTGTCCCTAATTAAAAAACACCACCTTCATTTATGAGTACTTGTCCTTTTATTAATATTTTTGGTTAAAATTGCTAAACTTTGACCATAAATTAATTAAAATTGATATTAAATGTTCAAACAAAAATAATTGTATTAGATTTATTTTCTAAAATATTTTTAAAATTTTATTTTATCTTCTTAATATACGATATATATTTTATTTAATTATTATTAAATAGTTGAGAATATAATAATTGATAACAAAAAATCAAAATTAGATAAATTGTTATGATAAAAGTAGTACTTCATAAAAAAAAAGGATGATCCTTATCCCCATGAGCCTCTCAGACCCTCCCAGACGCCACTGGGAGGATGTAAATTAAATTTTGACAAAACACTAAAGAATTGAATTGCATCTGTTACTTGCAGAAACTTTATGTTTTGCACAATTAACTCCAGTAACGTTGAAACATAATAATTGAATTCACATCTTATCTTCTTGGCACTCCTTAACTGGTATAAATTTGTAAACGAAAATGATTAATAACACTCCACAATTCTTTTTTAAAAACAATCCCTAATTGTTTTCATCTCAACAATTTTTTTTATTTTTATACATCCAATTTTTTTCGTAGACACTTCTAGACATGAAAGAGAAGGTAACAAAAATGGGCTCACGCCAACCACATTCCCCGTTAATTTTAATCAATCATTCTTTTCCTCAAATACAAATTCACACAGTGTCCGATACACTCCTTATTTTTTCCGGTATAAACTATAAATAAAGTGCATATTACAGAATATAACTGTATATAAATTCTTCACCTCCCTCCCTCCCTCAACAAAATCCTCCCTCAGATAGCATCTTATTTTCTCTGCAACACACACGAATCACCACTGTTCGACCTGTCTCCGTCTTGTCCAGAATTAGTGCTCCTTTCCGTCATATTGCTAATTGATCTCCTCTCCCGGAAAGGTTTGTTGGAGTGCTAGATTTGAAGCGAGGGACGTCCCAACTTCTGCCGCATCTGCTGCTCGATTTCTCCCGATTTTCTCGCCGGAAATGCGATTTTCCAGATGATATTCAGGCGACCGGTGATGGACATCGAAGGCTGGGGCCGTCGGAACAGTAATCCCGTCGAGGTGAGTACAGATCGAACCTAATTGTGTTGAATTTTGGGGACGCAGATCGGAGTTCGTTTCCCGTTATATTCTAATTGAACTGATTTGACCGAATTCATCGCGCAGAGAAAGTCATGGAGAACGGTGTTGGCCCTGGCGTACCAGAGCCTGGGCGTGGTTTACGGAGATCTGAGCACTTCTCCGTTGTACGTCTACAAGAGCACCTTCGCGGAGGACATTCACCACTCGGAGACGAACGAAGAGATATTTGGCGTCCTGTCGTTCGTCTTCTGGACTCTGACTCTGATTCCGCTTCTGAAATATGTGTTCATCGTGCTCAGAGCGGACGACAACGGGGAAGGCGGGACTTTCGCTCTGTACTCTCTGTTGTGCCGCCACGCCCGGGTCAGTACCCTGCCCAACGGTCAGGTCGCCGACGAGGAGCTGTTCGAGTACCAGAGCGATGCGATAGGCGGCGGTCAGCCTGGAGGTGGTGGTGATAAGGGCGGCGTTGGGCTGAGCTTGAGGTCCACGCTGGAGAAGCACCATTGGTTGAGGCGGGTATTGCTCGCCTTGGCTCTCATCGGTGCTTGTATGGTCATTGGTGATGGCGTCCTAACCCCTGCTATTTCAGGTAAATTAATGGCCCACTCATTTAGACTATAATCCGTATACTCCCTCTCTCCCAAATTATTTGGGCAATCTCTGGGACTTTTGTTTATTTCTACATTTTCTAGTTATTTGATAAAATAAAATATTTTTTATACCTCTTATTTTGAAGAACTTTTCATGTAGTTTTTGATGTGTAAATTTTATTTTTTATTTCTATATCAATATGTAAATAAAATGAATTTAAAAAACTTGATATTTTGGGACGAAGAAAGTATAAAAAATGAGTAAAAATATGTGTCTTATTGACAAGACTTGACCAGCGATAAATTTTGATTGACTGAGAATTTAAGAAAATAAAAGGGGCAATGGCCGTCAACTTTTCAATTTTTTTATGCAAGTGGTTAATTTTATCTTAAATTTTATCCGTTATTTTTAATTCATCTTATTTTTTTTAAATTAAAAAATAACTGCAATCAAACACCTTAAATTGAATTGAAAGGAATGCTAGGAAAATATTTTCTCAATACTCCATTAAAATGCTTTATGCTCGCGTGATAACTTATCTTAAGTTTTGTTTGATAAAATTTCGTTTGGTTCATAAATTTGCAGTGTTCTCTGCGGTGTCTGGATTAGAGCTGTCCATGTCAAAGCATCATCATGAATGTAAGTTGAAAACTCCACCTTTAACGTTTCTTTTCTCCGACATACGTAATTACCGAAATCACCAATAAAGTTGAAATTTTTACACCTTATTAGTTACTCCGTATTTCACACGGAGTATTAATATTCTGTAATAATAATAATACTAATACTAATACTAATAATAATAATAATAATAGTAATAATAATAATAATAATAGAGAGAGTGTGCAAAGTAGGAATATTATTTGCTTAGAATCGGAAAGAAGGCCTTAGTCTATTGGGCAAGGTTCCCATGACATTGGGAGCCAATGTCATGGGATGACCCGGAGGCGCTCCGATGTCCCGTACGTAAAATTGACGGTTCATACCTCTCCTAACCCCCCTGGTAAACCCCCCACCCGGCCCCGACCCGAACACACCCCCCACCCCCTTCAATTGCACCCCACAAGTTGATTTTGACTTTGGAGTCAAATTTTGACTACAAAGTCAAAATCAACTTGTGGGGTGCAATTGGAGGAGGTGTGGGGGGTGTGTTCAGGTTGGGGCCGGGTGGGGGGTTTACCGGGAGGGTTAGGGGGGTAGGAACCGTCAATTTTACGAACGGGACACCGGAGCGCCCTCGAGTCATCCTAGAAACCAATGTCATGGGAACCTTGGTGTAGTCTATTTATAGGTTCAACGCTACTACAAAATCAACCTCCGTGGTTGATACTTTTGTCGTCTAGCCCTTGTCATCCAGTACTTGGCATTCAGTCCTTGTCGTCCGGTCCGAGCAGAGAGGCTATAAGCTGAAGGTCCGAGCCGAGCCCGTGTCTACCGAGATGAGGCCAATGGACCGAGCCTGTCATTTTTCAGGACGTGGGGTCCGGTCCTGGGAGCCTCCGTCAATAATACTTTCTCTGTTCCTAAAATATTGCGACATTTTGATTTTTTTAAATCAAATTATGACTTTCTTTGACTATAAATCATGAAAAAGTACATTTAGTTATGATATAAATTTAGTAAAAGTAGATTTATTTTAGAATATAGTTTTGAAATATCAAATTTTTATAATATTTAATTATTTTGAACTATATTTAGTTCGTGATTAAAAGCTGCCACTGTTTGACAAAATAACTAAGGACCATGCTACATGTACCCCATATTTGTACCCCAAAGCTTTAACCTGACATTTAATGTAGGTGCAACACTGACATATTACCAGTTTTGCACCTACATTTAATGTCAGGGCAAAACATTGGGGTACAAAATGGGATACAATATGGGGTACATGTAGCATTATCCAATAAGTAAAAGTGTAGCATTATTTTAAGGGCGGAGGAAGACAATCATAACAGAAATTAATAATAATAATAATAATAATAATAATAATAATAATAATAATAATAATAATAATAATAATAATAATAATAATAATAATAATAATAATAAATTAAATTGATGATGACGTCGATGCTAAAGTTATGAATAATTTATTTTGGGTTGCAATTTTAGACGTCCTCAATTAATCAAGTACGGGTTAGGCTACACGATATTCCGAGATTCAGTTGCAAGTTTGGTCTCCGTTTGGTTAGGCAGCTGTTGTGAATCTAATACGTCGCATAACCATCCACCTATGTTTTTTAGCCATTTGCCTAATTTTTGGTCATCAATTAACTAATCAAGAAAATTAATTCAAATTTTGTTTTTTAAATTGAAAATTAAACTTTTTTTACGAATAGAATTTGTACTTGCATAAATGAGCCCAATCATACACCGTACCAAATAGAGAGTAAAACCAAACCAAACAAAATGAAAAACCATTTCTAGTGCACAATATATCTAAGAAAATAAAAGATGTTTCCACACATGAGTTTGTGATTGGTACATAGTTAGTAATTAAATACTTTTTTTTATTATTTAATAATATAAAATAGGTAAATCATCTTTTATAATAAGGATTTTAACGAGTTTAAATATATCAATTTACAAATAAATTAAATTATAAGAATCTCATCTCAAGTGGTCGTTTGAAGATAACTTTAGGGATTTTAAAGCTGATTTGCATCACTAAAAATATATCCAACATTTTAACACGAGTTCAAAATATTACGGAGTATATTGTTTGTTTCCAAATAAATCCTATATTTTGTAATCAATTAAATAAGTAAACATGATATACTTGTCCTTGATTATTTGTCAACCTTTAATTTTTTTGTTAGAATTAGAAAACTTTAAACACATATTAAATAAAAATGATATTACATACTGATATAAAATAATTTTATTTATTGTTGGATGTTGGTTTTTTTCCGGATAAAAAGAATGATATACTTGATTGACTCTAACATATTAGTGACACAGAATAGTGTCGAATCTTAGTAAGAATGTGATTAAATGGTGGGTTCAAATTTTGGGATTAAAATACTCCCGTATCATTTAAAAAAAAATTGTCTGTTTGGCGAATGGATTGTCTACCCCTAGCTAGTACGATGAGCACGACTGTAGGGCCCCACCTTTGTTTTCGAGCTGGAGGACAAAACAGGTCTACCGCATGAAATCCTCCCTTCTTCTCTTCATCAAATTGTGACATCTTTTAATCATAAATTAAGTAGGGAGTATAGTTTATAATAATTAAATATTACTCTATATAAAAGTTTGATATTTCAAAAATATATTTTAGAATAAACCTAATTTTATTAAATTTACAATATAATTAGATAAACTTTTTGCATAATTTATGGTAAAAGGAAGCCACATTTTAACAAAAAAATTAACTTTTAGGAATGAATGGAGTAATAAAGAATTACTCCATGGTTTTAGAAAAGAGGTTATTCCGTATTTTCCACGTCTCTAACTCTCGATAAATGACGTTTATGCGACCCACCGAGGAATTTTTAAAATTTTCATTAGTTTTTCATTGAATTTCATATTCAGGTGAGACAATTTAAAAACATCATGTTGTTTAGTTTGGAGAAAATAAATTTGAACATGGAGTGATAAAGTTTAAAGTGTAAATTTTAGAAGATGGGCTTTGGATTACTTATGTTAAAATTTTACTCCCTCCATCTTTTCATTTCATTACGTGTTATGAAATTTCAATGATTTTATTTTCAAACCAATTTATTAGAAAATAAAATTTAATTGAAATATGGAACAAAACTACATACAAAGTTTTACAAACAATAGATGGCGTTATTATGTTACTTTATAAAATAAGTAGTAAAAATAAGCATACACAGCAGGTAAAATTTATCGATGTTAATAGTGCATGAAAAGAATTAAACTGAATTAATTTGAGTAAACACTTTAAATTGCAGTGAACATTTTATTTTGGGATAAAGGGTACAATTCTTTTTTCTTGGATTTAAGTAATTAAAATCTAGAATTTGAGTGTGAAGACTAAATTGGAAGATCTTTAATTCTTTACTAAACCTTAATATCTGGACAACACTATGGGAATTACGGAGTACTATCTCCGTCCCACTGTCTTTGTCCACTTTTGACTTTTGGAAATAGTCATGCGTGATCTTGTTTGATTCGTCTTAACATATAGATTATTAATATATAATTTCTATAATTTTTTAATATACAAAGTACAAGATAAAATGGATAAAAGAAGTGTATTGGATGGTGTACCAAAAGGTAAGTGGACAAAGACAATGGGACGGAGAGAGTAATATATTGTAAATTACTGATTTCACAGTATGAGATAGGAATGAAAGCGGAGGCAGTCAAGTTGGACTTAGATACGGACTCTTATACGGATTACGACTTACGTGTGAATAAAGAGACACTGATAGTAACAGTAGAGAAAGTGATAGTAATGCTTATCCTTTTCAAAATGAGTCTCAGGCTCTCAGCTCCCTTCCATTTGAGAAAGAAGTTTTAATTTTGATTCATTATGATTGACTAAAACAATTACCTCTCCATATCCGTTTAATTTTTCTGAATATTTTTTTCTTCCCCTTTTGACTTTAATGGTTGGTATTTTAAAATTTGACTACAAAATACAGAAAAATACATTGAATTGTGATTTAAAATTAATTTTAGAAGATTCATTTTGAAATACTAGTATAATTTTGAAGTATCATACTTTTATAATATACGATGTATGTTTGTACAAAAATACAAATATTAATAGTCAAGTTGTATCGTTAGAAACCGTAAAAAAGCAAATAAGAGAAAAAGTAAAGAGAAGGAAAAAACTACATTGGATTAAAACATACTCCATATTTTACATACCAATATAAGAGGAATCAATGTTTTTCTACCAAAATTAGGAGTATACTTTAATAATGCCAAATAATATCAAAATATAATGCCAAAAAATAATTAATATTGAAAACTGGGTGATAATGAATGAGGTGAGGATGAATATGGTTAGATGTTGAATATTGGGTGATAATGAATGTGGTGAGGATGAATGTGGTTAATTGCTTGGCCGCAGACGTAGAGGTTCCAGTGGCATGCGCGATACTGGTGCTGATATTTTCAATACAGCATTATGGGACCCACCGAATAGGATTCCTGTTTGCGCCGATAGTGGTGACGTGGCTGGTGTGCATCAGCATGATCGGAATGTACAACATCTTCAAGTGGAACCCACACGTGTACCAAGCACTCTCCCCATACTACATGTACAAGTTCTTGAGGAAGACCCAACGCCGTGGTTGGATGTCTCTCGGCGGCATCTTGTTGTGCATCACAGGTCGGTTGAATTTGTTGGTTGGTTGCTTTACACACTCTTTTAATTAATTCTCGTCTTTGGATGATTGGATTCGATTAAGGTTTTGTCTCGGAAGAGTCTTTTTTATTAGCGTTAGCGTTTTGGATAATCTTTTTGGTATATGCATTTCAGGTTCGGAAGCCATGTTTGCTGATCTTGGGCACTTTTCACAGTTATCTATTAAGGTAATCTTAACTGAATAAATTAGGGAGTACTAAGATGCATGATAAGATGCCCTCTAAAATGCCTTGTAAACATGGAGGAATAAAGTCAATTATGGTGCCATGAAAAAGTCTATTTCCAAAATATTTAGAGTAATAAGATGCATGATAAGATGCCCTCTAAAATCTGATCTTTAGTAGTGCTTTTCAACTTTTGCCTTCCACTACTGTCATGGCTGCAACTTTGTTGAAATTCAGATAATTGACCATTTTACTATTCAGTGCACTTTAGAAATTTTGCCCATTCAGAAATTTCCACCAAAGGTGCGTGTGAACAAGACATTATCACCAAATTGCTTTTTTGATAAAAATCTGTTCAAAAATTCCTATGTTGCAGATAGCCTTCACTTTTGCAGTTTACCCATCACTGATTCTTGCTTACATGGGACAAGCGGCTTACCTTTCAAAACATCACACCCTTGAAACAGGCTACCGGATTGGATTCTATGTTTCTGTACCTGGTACTCTCTTTTTTTTCCCTTCATATTCTAATTTTTGGTCAAACTAGGCACAGGAAAAGTTTTTTTAGATTCTAACAAAATTAAAATCCAAAGTTCAATAAATCCAGCAACTACTGTCTTGGCTGCAACTTTGTTGAATTTCGGAGAATTGATCACTTTACTATTCATTTCACTTTAGAAAGAATTTTCCACCAATGGTGTGAACAAGACATTATCAAGTGCTTTTTTGACATATTTTATTCAAAATTCCTATGTTCACATAGGAAAAGAGAAATATTGTGAGCTACATATTTCATTCTTAAAAATATGAGTAAAGAATATTTGGGTATTGCAATTTTGAGACAAGGCCAAATCCAAACCCGTTTGGGGCCAGGACCCAGCCCAACGAGCCGATGTCGACTTGATAGCATCCCATTATATTTTGAGTTGGGTTCTAAATTTCTAATCTTTCTTATTCTGATGCATGTTCAGAAAAGCTAAGGTGGCCCGTTCTTGGCATTGCAATACTAGCAGCCGTGGTGGGAAGCCAAGCTATCATAACAGGAACATTTTCTATAATCAAGCAATGCTCTGCTTTAGGTTGTTTCCCAAGGGTCAAAATTACACACACGTCTTCGAAATTCCATGGCCAGATTTATATCCCAGAAATCAACTGGACATTGATGTTCCTATGTTTGGCAGTCACTATTGGGTTTCAAGACACAAAACACATAAGCAATGCATCAGGTAAGTTCTTGCTCAACAAATGCCTATTGGTGATATATATTATCCTCTCAATGAGCTAAGGATCATTTGGTAGCTATATCTAGAGCGCATCCTGTTTATCTAATGCAGACAGAGTATGCAGCTCTTGTCATATTTGGCTGAAATGTATGTTGCATACCCTTCCAGCCAAATAACCTCTTACCAAACGCGTCCGAAATGTATTACTACTTTGTATTATTAGAGTATAAAAGCATTCATAAGTCTTCAAGTAAACGTTTGAGTTTTTGATTAAGTCGATTTATGTCTAACAACTATTTACCCTGTTGTGGTTGGAGCAGGTCTGGCAGTTATAACTGTCATGCTGGTCACCACATGCCTAATGTCACTCGTCATTGTTCTGGTCTGGCACAAGCGTGTCTTCCTAGCCATCTTCTTCATCCTCTTCTTCGGCTCCATTGAAGCGCTCTACTTCTCGGCTTCCCTCATCAAGTTCTTGGAAGGCGCGTGGGTCCCGGTTGCCCTCTCGTTCATTTTTCTACTCATCATGTACATCTGGAACTACGGGACGACGAAGAAATACGAGTTCGACGTTCAGAACAGCGTCCCCATCAACTGGCTCCTCCAGCTAGGCCCGAACCTCGGCATCGCGAGGGTTCGTGGCATAGGCCTCATACACACTGAGCTCGTCTCGGGGATTCCTGCCATTTTCTCCCATTTTGTCACCAACCTCCCCGCCTTCCACCAGGTCCTCGTCTTCCTCTGCGTCAAATCGGTCCCGGTCCCACACGTGCGGCCCGAGGAAAGGTACCTGGTGGGCCGGATCGGCCCACCAGAGCACCGAGTCTACAGGTGCATAGCAAGGTACGGCTACCGGGACGTTCACTTGGATGACATCGCATTCGAAAAGGATCTCCTTTTCAGTATCGAGCAATTCATCCGTTCGGAGGGGGCCCCACGGCCATCAGGCAGAGAAGAAGTCATCAAGGAACTTAGACAGTCGACAAATTTCGAGGACGACGAGAAGATGATCGTCATCGGGACCACTTCCACATACATGGAAGGGAAGAGACCGTGGGACGATAGCGAAAGCACGTCGGAAGGAGAGTTTGGAGAGATTTGCTCGCCGAAGATCCCACCGAAAAGAAGAGTGAGGTTTTTGTTGCCGGAGAGCGGCGGCCCTGGTGGAGGAGATGTGGTGGCCGTTGATCCGCCGGGGGTACGAGAGGAACTTAGGGATTTGATGGAAGCCAGAGAGTCAGGGATGGCATTCATATTGGGGAACTGCTACGTGAAAGCAAAGAGCGGTTCAAGCCTGTTCAAGAGATTAGTGATCAACATAGGTTATGATTTCTTGAGGAGGAACTCTCGTGGACCCACCTATGCCCTGAGCTTTCCCCGAGCTTCCACTTTAGAGGTCGGCATGATCTACCTGGTGTGATATGATAACCACAAGGAAGCAAGCAGCATTTCCAGGTCGGGCAATGCTCGGAAAATGTCACTTGTGACACCACTCTTGACACCAAAGAACAAGCACGGACATTGACGGGTACCCCCACACAAACACCGATTGTCTGCGCTTGCCTTTCATATCGGAAATGGTGTCACAAGTAGGGTTCCCGCCCAAGCTTTTTTTTCTTGCAGGTTTCTAGCTGTTAAAATGACTGTAAATTGTAGATTTTGCGCCTGTGAAAAATTGAACTAGCTATAGCTAGGTAGCTCTGCCTAGTAGTTACTAGTTGGTATTGTAAAATCAGTCTGCAGGTAAATTATGATCAAATGAGCAGTAAAATTTTTGTAGCATCTTTTTCTGTCACCCAATTCCCCATGCATATGCTAATAACATAGAAACAATCATGATTGGAGTACACCAAGGAGTGTACACCAAATTGTACACCAAAGTTATCAAACATTGTGATGATTCATAGGAACACAAAATGTAGTGCGTTCAAAAAAATTTTGCATTAGCATTTTGTATCAATGTGAACCATCACACTAGCTCAAAATGAAAGTTTACCACTCTTGGTGTTAATTCATGTTGAAATGAAGGCAACAGACAATGTCAAGACTTTAAAAGCCACCTGCAAGTGTTCTTCTGTGCAAAAGGCTGCCAGTTATTTAGTCTAAGAATATTTTTCAAAGACATTAATGTCAAGACATTCTTATATGAGGTACTTTTAAAAATGTTGATGATTGAAACCGCAAGAATCTATCTTGATTTAATAATATCTTTAACCAAACTTGAATAAAAAGAAAAAAGTAATAGGACTAATGATGCACATTTAAAAGTTCACACGGAAAGCTCACGATTTATGACAAGTATAAGGGTTAATGATGTATTTTTGAAAGTTCAAAGGAAAAAATATGCATATTTGAAAGAGTTCGAATGTAAAGCACACACTTTTTTTAAAAAAATATAGGAATTACTGGTGCATTTTAAAAAATTTGAGGAATAAAGTAATAAACATGCACTTCTTGAGTAAATAACACAAAAAACTCCAATTAAAAGTGTGAATTTGTTTTCCATAAACTGTAAGGTAAAGTTAATTTAATGAATGGATTTGTTGGCATCATTGGTTACACAAAGATATTTTATGCTCCCACTCTATTAAGTCTAATTGAATGTAGAAAAAGAACAACTATAAGGAAAACTGTGCAATACCTGTGTGCCAAAATGAAACCAGATCCCAGGGAAGAAGCAAAGAATGGTTGGAATAGGATTCTATCTTCAATTCTTTACTGGCGGACAAAGTATTCTCAATCCTCCATGTATGTAATCTCCAACCCCCACTTCTCTTCTTCCAATTCTTAAGAACAAGCAAAAAAAAGTTCAATTCCATTTCAATCCCAAATGGGGAAGAAGAAAAAGTTTGTGATTTTAGTCCTCATTTTCTTGAATCTTCCTTCTGGGTTTTCTTTAGCCTCAGCCACACCCACTGCAAGTAAGTGCCGGCCTTCTGCATTCATTCTTATTCAAGAATCAAGACCCAAACTTTTTCTTCTTCTTCTTCTTCTTTTTGCAAGATTGAATTTTGACGATTCATTGCCATATACATGTTTGGTTTATACTGTGTATTTTTGCATATAATAAGTCTTTGGGATAGTGACCAATGTCGTGCCTGCATTTTTCCACTGGGTGGTATCACTAATCTCCGAGACTGAACCAGGTAAAAAAGTATTAAACCTATTACAGTAAGATTTGGAGTTCTTATATGTGTTGGTTTATTTACTTATGTCTTCTATTTAGCAGAATATCAGCCAAGCATCAAACTGATGAAAGGTTGGGTTTTTGCAATTCTTTTGTACCTTTTTCATCAGATATATCCATCTGTTCAATGACGAAATTCGAGAGGGGATACAGAGTTGAGACCATCTTTGATGGAAAGAAATTCGGAGTTGAGCCACACTCCGCAGTGGTTTCACCTGTGAGAGAACAAGTCTTCATTTCTGATTCTGAAAATAACAATATTTACAAGATTTCAACACCACTCTCTCTCCGTATGATGCCTTTTTTCCCATGTCTATCTTCATAAAAGCACACCATTTCTACAACAGCCAAATTTTCCCATGTCTACAACAGCCAAATTTCATTTAAAATGTATCCTTTCATGTGTAGCATAGTAGTCATCCGCTATAACAACCAATATACATACAGATAGCCAACCTGTGTTGATCACTGGATCGCCGGAAGGATGTTGTGGACACATTGATGGGGAGTTGAGAAACGCAAGGATGAATCGCCCGAAAGGGCTAGCTGTGGATGACACTGGAAATGTATATGTTGCAGATACCATGAACATGGCCATTAGAAAAATCTCTACCAATGGTAGTATATGTCTATATATAGACCTACATTACCTTGTTTTTTTGTTCCCTGACTTTAAAAAAAGAAAAAAGATAGAACCCAGTGTCATATGACACTAGGGTTGAGTGTCAAAAGAACCCGTGTTTATGTCTCGGTTTGACAGCAAACTTTTTTATTTTTTTGAGGAAACAGGAGTGGTTACAATTGCAGGAGGGAAATGGTTAAAGGGAGAAGAAGGGGACATGGAGAGAGCAAGCGAAGATGCAAAGCTTTCAAGCGACTTTGACGTGGTTTATGTTCGAAGCAGCTGCTCGCTTTTGGTTATTGACAGAGGAAACCGAGCAATTAAAGCCATCCAGCTTCACAGGACTGACTGCTCTCATCACAATCACAACAGTTCCCATCCATGTAAAAAAAAACCATTCTTTAAATATAAAAAAAGAGACCTTTTAAGACAATCTCAGTAAAGATTGTGTTTTTTGTTACATTATTGCAGGCACATCACTTGTTGTTGCTTCCTGTTTGTTTGGTTACATGTTGTCTCTGTTACAACGTAGAATCGGCACAATTTTCTCATCGAATTGCAGCAAGAAATCTGAATCAGCATCACTAGGAAGAGCATTGTTAAACACTTGCTCATCTGTTGTTAAATTCTGCTCCCATTCATGCTCTTGGCGGTCAAAGAACCAATCATACGCAGTTCATCATCATCATGAAGAAGATGACCATCAACCAATTAGAACGAAACAACACTCTTCGGTGAACAAAACACCACTCTTTGGCTTTCATCAACACCATCACAAGAAACAGACGTCAAGACCACAGACTCATTACATGGAAGAACACAGCAGCGAGATGATTGTGTTTGGGGCAGTTCAGGAAGACGAAGGATTTCGCCAGTCCAAATATTGTGGTGCTTTTGAACACAGCTGAGATCATTCTCATCCACCATATAACCATTATCATAGTATCTGTTTATGGATCTTGATGAATATATGTTACTCTCTCTATATGTCTATGTATGAATAGTGTATACTCATCTTTTGTCTTGAAAAACTTTGAATCTAGTTTTTAAATATATAATTTATGTTTTTAAATTTTGAACCAATCTCTGGATAACTTCAATAAAAAAAAATAACATGAATCGAACATTATAAACCGCAAGACATGAATAACTACAGAAGAAAGGGAGTGAGTAATAAGTATGGAATAATACTAATAATAATGGAAATAATGTTCCAATCTCTAATGGTTCCTATCTCTTTGATGTTTGAACAGCACATTTGACAACAATCCTAAGAAGAAAAGGAAGACAAAGATGAGTGCAACCACCACCAAAACAGAGCACTAATTGCTGGCATTGAAAGATGCTTAAATGGAATTTTAATATTATCACTAATAATACTCCCTAATAATTTATCAAGGAAACATTCTTATCATCCACAAATCCACACTCATTATCTAGATAAATGCATAAATATTTGAGCTTCTAATTATATTTTAAATTTTATTTTTGAAGATAAAAGAAGCAAATATAACTCGAAAAAAACTTGAAAAAAATGAACTCCACGGATTTGAGAAATACCAAAATAAGGAGAGCGTAGAAGGGAGTTGTGACAGGTTATGTTAGATTTAAGAAAAGTAGACATTTATTTCTATTTAGCTAAATTAAAATAGTTTTTACAACAAGAAAAATATGTAAATGGAAAGATTTTACAACCTTTTATGTCTAGAACATTTTTTTACTTTCCTAATACCGGAGTAAAACAAAAAAATTGAACAGATAATTTTTTTAAAACAAATTTAATCATTCATTTTTTAGTATTGTAATTATTTTTTTCAAACTCTGCAAATTTAAATTATCCCAATTAACTTGGGACTTAAAAAATACGAAGTATTACAACAGCAAGTCAACAACAACAACAACCGAGTATGATCCCATGAAAGTAAGGTCTGGAGGGTGTGTATGGAGATTAAAGATTTTATAAAGTAGAGGTTGTTTCCACGAAATGATACGAGTATATTAAATATCAAAAATAGATTTTTACTCTATTTTTTTACCTAAAATAGAAAGTGGACAAATTTACAAGACCACCCAAACACATATGCAAATACTTTGGGAGGGAGTAGTTAATATACACTCAATCAATCATACACAAATAACAAGTATCACATGGCACAAGGAACCTCCTAAGTCCTAACTCTATTCCTTTTACTAATTAGAGCATCTCTATCCATATGGTTATTTGCTAAAACAAGCAAATATGTTGCACGAATCCTTTAAATAAGTGCTGCTTCTCGTTCTCATTCAGATATTTAGGGTGGTCTGCACACCCAATTCCTAAAAAAATTAGCGTTTCACGCCTCCGACCCCGTCTCTGTGCAACTTAAATAACAATTACCATGTATTAATCAATTTTTTCATCTCCTACCATAAAGGTAAAATTTACCAAGTTTTCTAAAATGTCAGTGTTGTTAAATACAACAATTAGTATTTATGTTGTAAATAAATATAAATTCAATATAATACTCAATTGAAGGAGAGAGAATATTGAAACGTTAAAATAATTTAAAGAGAATAGAAGAATGAGGATAAAATATAAATAATTTACCAAGCATAGTTGGAAGAATGCATAAGAAGTATATATCCACAAAGAACAATGACAAATTCTTCCGTAAACTTAAAGTTCATGCTCATTATATGAACCTTGGTTATTTGTAGTATAAAAGAAGTAGACCTTTTCAAAAACAAAAATACTCAGATGCAAGCCCATAAAAAATGTGAGAAAATCTATATTTTAAAGATAGACTTTGAGACCATGTAAGCATTACTTGCCCCCAAATCATATCAAATCCTTTGGAGAGTTAACATTTAGGCATTCAAATCATATCAAATCCTTTGGAGATCAGGTATGTAACGTTAGTCTTACATACTCCCTATTTCTTAAACTAATTTTCTTTATAATTTTAAGAACATTAAAAAATGTAAAAAGATACTCCGTAGTAAACAAAAAGACATAACTAAAACTTATTGAAGAGGTGTTAAAAAAAATATTGAAGAGAAAGAAAAATGTTTTGAACCGTTTATTTTATTAAAAAAATATTTAAAAAAAAGAAGTAAACAAATACTCTGTATATTTTAAGATAGGATAAAAAAAGAAAATACTCCAGAACATAATAAAACTCTTACGAGATAGGAGAGTATTTATACTTGCTTCTATATCTCCGTCAAGCACCGCCATCTCCCTCCATCTCTCCATTTTAATCAAATCAAAAAGCCCTAATTTAGAGTCCCCAAGCAATCGGGGCTTCCGATCACTGATTGAACTTGAACATGGAAGGGCAGCTGGGTGGCGCGCCGGAGTTCTCGCCTAGAGGTGCTGCCGCAGATGATAATTTCAAAGAGGCGGCGGCGTTTCAGGGCAGGGGTTGCTGTTTCTGGCTGCCGTGTTTCCGCCGGCGTCCCAGTGGCGTCTGGGAACGGATCCAAACGTCGGGAGGCCACAAAGAGGAGATCAACACTTGGCTGTCCAAGGGCGTTCAGGTGTTCATGAGAGTTCGGGAGTGGTCGGAGCTCGTCGCCGGTCCCAGATGGAAGACCTTCATCCGACGATTCAACAAGCGCCGGTCGAAGCCCGGGATGTTCCGATACGATCCCGTGAGTTACGCCCTCAATTTCGACGAGGGGTCGGCGCACGGCGTCGATGCGGCGGAAGACGACGGTCTCCGCGATGTCTCCCCGAGATACGCGCCGATCACGGCGACGATGGATTCGGGAAGGGGCGCGTCGCCGTTCACGTGAAGATTCGCTGTACGAGGCTATCGTGCGCGTCACCTGGACGAGAGAATTGTGGCGCAAAATTCGGGGCGATGGTGATCTGGCAGGCACTTTGTCAGTATCAATGGGGATTGTGGTGTCACTGTTGTCAATGCCTTTTTTTACAGCTTTGTTACCATCTGTTTTTGTGTCCTCAAATTACCTTTTGCTTTTTGTGCAATTTGTATAAAAAAAAGTGCAAACATTGACTGTGATTGGTTTTATTCATTACTTTCACAAACTGTTGACCCGTCTCATACCTATTTGTTGCAACTTTTATACCGATTATATATGTTTGTTATCTCGTGGCAGTATGCTTGTGGTGGTGGTGTGAGTGTGGCGGTGTAAATGTGGTGGGAGTGTGGTTCTGATTGTGGGAGTGTAAAGGTGATGGGAGGACTAGTAGCAGTGTGGCAGCGTCAGCGATAATGTGCTGGTGGTAGACTGACAGTGTGGTAGTAGTAGTGATAATAACGGTGAATGTGGTTGTGGTATTGTGGAGGTTGTGGTGGTAGAAGTAAGGTGGTAGTGTGTTTGTGGCTTTGGCAGTGTGGGGATGATTGTGGTAGTATGGTTGAGGCGGTGATGGTGGTAGTGGGATTGGATGGTGACTGTGGCATTGTGGCAATAGAAAAGTAGTTGTTGTGTGGCTCTGGTTGTGGCATAGTGGAGGCGGTAGCAGTGAAATATTTGAATCAAGTCAAATTTGGATAGATTTGAAATTATATTTGGACTTTGATAATTCACAAACGCAGAAGCCGATGGCCAATGTGACCAAGATGACGCCATATTTGAACAATAAAATTAAAGGTGTTTTGGTACCACATGTGACTAGACAATAATTTATATGTTAATCTCTAATTTGTCAAAAATTACATACTACTAAGATTTTATGTATTGATTTGTCAAAGATTGAATAGAGTCAATCTTTAATATTGGCACCTCTAAACTCTATATAGTTATATTAACTCCATAAGTTATATATCTAACACCATAAGGGATAGAAAAAAATCTTTTAATAAGATATACGTAGTATGATAAGATTGTAAAGAAATCACTTAACTTATAATGTAAACATAGCCTCAAAGTGCATCATAGCGCTATTCCTGGTCGCCGATTCGTAGCTTATTTGAAACAAATCCCTATTATTTTTAAGGGAATTGATATTTGCACTCCACATCTGTTACCTACACTCCACACCTTTATTTTCTTTCTATAAATTGACAACTTTGCCCTTCGTAACTAGTAAATCCCTCTTGATGCACTAGCTCACGTCACTCAATTGTTTTGTAACTTTTTTCTTTGGCTATAAATTCTCAATGTAAATTCCGAGACACACTCACGGCCAATAATATTATAAAAATATTATTATATACTCCTTCCGTCCCAAAAAGAATGTTACATTTCATTTTTTTGCGCATCACAAAAAGCACTGCTACTCACATCTAAAATTTACCATATTTACTCTTTATTATAAGATGAAATTGTTTTGAAAGTTTTTTTGGCATTTGAGACGATATAAAAGTGTTTTAAGGGATGCACAAAAAATGAAACGTAACATTCTTTTTGAGACGGAGGGAGTATAATGTAAAAATATAATATTATTTTTTCATATTTTTTTAGGCTGAATATAAAAATAATATCATTATTTTGTAAAAGAATTAATAGAAGATAAAAAATATTATTATATATTTTTTATTTTTTTATAATGTACTGTTATAATACTCCCCCAGTTCCATAAGACCCTTCACCTTTTGTTTTTTTCCAATTTCTTAAAGCACTTCCACTTTCTATTTAAAAATCACTTTTACCTTTACTTATACCCAACCTATCGCATCATACTTTTTCACTAACAACCAAACTATCACATCTTACTTTTATGCATCACATCAAGGGCAAAATAGGAAAATCAACCAAAATTACACTTTCCTTATTTTGGCCCAAATTCAAAATGGGAATGGCTTAAAGGAACGGAGGGAATATTATTTTTATATTATATTTTTATAACATTATTGGTGGTGAGTATGCTTAAGATTTATAATTTAAAATACGAGTAGAAATTACAAAACCATTGAGTAAATTAAATGAGGCATGGTAAGGTGAGCGCCGAAGATGTATATGCCGCACTACACCGAATGAGGTTTTTTAATTAAAAGGCTAAAGTTGTCAACATATAAAAGAAAGTAAAAGTGTGGAGTGTAGATAACAAATATGGAGTGCAAATATCAACTCCCTATTTTTAATACTCTCTCATTTTGGGCAAGACGGTCGGAAGCGACCCAAAGGATCGGCTTACTTTCTGGAAGAAGTAGCTGCTACTGTGATCATATCCGCTCAAGCAAGCCCGTCCCAAGCCGACCAAGCAGTTGCTTT